TAATAAAAAGAAAACGTTTACATGTACAAAATTAAAAAAATGTATTTTCATATTTCTTAACGTAAGTAATTAGTCGATAATTTCATATTTATTCTTTGGTGTCAACGTAAAGGCAACAGCCCTCAAAATCTATTATGATGTATTGTAATAGAGCTAGAAATTTTACTAGTCATTTCTATTTATTAAAATGCATTGTTTATGCTTCATTCAGAGTTTAAACTACAATAAAATAAGTGTAGCATTCAATTATCTCTTAATTTGTTTAAATAAATTTTATGTCTGACTTGAAATAAGAGAGCAATGTTTTTTTTTCAGGGTTTTTGGCAGACATGGTGGGTTCTCATGCTAATGAAAACCTAAGAATTTGGATTTAAAAAAGCAAAAAAAAAAATAGGTAAGCGATTGTAATTACTAATGTAAAAATCCTTACATGTAACTTGGAAGTAGTTAATTGATTTGATCGTGATTTAATGAAGATCCACGCTAAATTAATTAATAAACGACATTATCTTGTCGATCTTTATTAATTTTATTTTATCGTAATATAACAAAATTGTGTCATTTATTTTGGAAATGTTTTTTTTGGTTGCAGCATTCATGATAACAACGGCATTTTATTATGGATGCAGACCTCTGAAGAAGTTCTCCACTCGTGGTAGCGAAACGTTAGGAAGCAACTCCATCACACGACGGTCCTTAGACCCCAAATCAGAACACCATCACTTCACTTATTGGCTGAGAAACACTTTACTAATTTGTAACTGTAAGTTGAACCATTCTATAATTTATTTATAATTTAATAATAATGATTTGCATTCATGTAGTAAATGAACAAGTCATTTTATCCACTCTTTATACTCTTTATGATTATTTCAATAAATTATAACTTGGAACTACAACAATAACTAAATTAATTGTTTTTGAAATAAAGAGCGCAATTGTTTTTTTCTTTCAGAATTTTCTGAGGACATAGTTCGTTCTTTTACTAATGCATAGATAATGGAAGAAAATGAGCTTACAAACGTAGAAAATGGGTAAGTGTTGAAGTTAAAGCTCCTTAAAACTTTGAATTTATATTTTATAAATGCTTTTCTTGCTACGTTCTGAAATTTAAGTGCATTCATGAACCATGAGTCTCCTACTGATTAAAGGGAAATGAATGATTTTAATACCTTAATTATTTAATTTACCCAATTAATTCTACGCAGTAGTTTTTGGTTGGTGCCCTTTTAAATATGGAGAGGGATAAGAGAAGAAAGGGTAAAAATGCTGTTCAAGCCAGAAAGAAATTGACTGATGTGTATGGAGAAGGTGTGTTGACAGTACACATGCTACTACCAGAAAGATGGCAAAAGGTGTTGGACCAGAACGGTCAATATATAATTTAATAAAGTATTTGTTTATTATACGAAAACTGTCTTTCCACAAAAAAAAAAAAACGAAATGACTTTCCGAACAACCCTATAGTTATAACAAACTATTTACTAAATTTCGCGTTTTGTAGTTTATTCGTGTGCCTGTTA